GAATCCCACACCGGAGTGCCTGGATGTTTTCCCACTCCAAGGCCAATCGCCAGCTCTGCAAGCAGCTTGGGACAACCCTCCCCAGCAGTGGGACCTCGCTCTTACGTAAACCTGCGCTACGCAGACCGACAGATCACCACGTGCTGCTTGTAACGGCTGCGACTCGTGACAGAGGCCGGAGCTGGGCGACGAGGGCTGCTCCTGCACACTCACCTCTCTGGCTACAGCTGCATTTGTTTCCTGCCTGAGCAGAAATCACAGCAACTTCCTGGGCCACAGGCTGCTGAAACAGGGGACCTATTTTAGGAGTTGGTTACAGTATGTTAAGCGATCTTCGCTGGTTGTACATCTATGTACATCAGAATCCCCACAGTTTTGAGAGGATCAGCTTAGCATCACTGAGGATCGATCATGGGTGACAACTTCCATGGAATATCCACTGGGCAAAAGGAGAAAACCAATGGTCTTTGAAAACAAGCAGAAAGTCAAGGGAAACATTTTCTGACAAGACAAAGGATGATTTATTCTGGCACTATGTCAAGGCTTACTCTGGGAGAGAAGCTTTGGGAATTTGCCAGTAGCCAGAAGGCTACACCTCATTAAAAAAAAAAGAAAAAAAGAAAAAAAGACAGGGTGAGGGGCAAAGAAGGGGGAGTCGAGTGCTCAGCCTCGGCAGGCAGCCGTTCTTCTCAACCCACCGCTGAGGCTGAGGAGAAGGAATGCGCCCGAGAGGCCGGTTGCTTCTGTGACAAGTGATTCTCTGTATTAACAGTGGGGACAGAGTGACTGTGGGCCCCTCATGCCAGTCAAGCCAGCAGGGATGTGCTGGCAGGAGGAAGGAGGGATTTCATATGAAGACCTCCTCTGGGGGACAGCTTGGTCACTTGCTGTTTCCCTCTCCTAGAGCTTATTGCTTCTGGGGGAACAACAGCAGGGCAAGGCTCAGCACGTCAGATGCATCATGCATGCCACTTGGAGACCCTGGCAAAGCTCATTCTTCTCTTGGCTGCTGTAATTTAGACTGTCCCTGTCTCCTCATGCCCCAGTGCAACCTAAAAGGGGGCATCTGCTGACCACTGCAGCCCTTGGAGGCACGACTCCACTACCTCCTGATGACTTTCAATGTTTCCACAGAATATCCCCGTTCTTCTGAGCCAAGTACACAAGCTAGGCTATTTTCAGTATTGCCTCCACTTCCGCAGAGATCTGTCTCCATCCCCACCCTCCTCTCTGAGCTTTCAACCATATGGGTCACCTCCGCCTTTTCAGTTAAGAGCCAGTCTGCAGTAGGAAGACTGGCAGCTCCATCTCCTCGGCTTCCCTACCTAGGAAGGGCAGCCTGTACCATGGGGCAACCACAAAT